ATTGTTAAGCTTAACATAGTATTTGATTTTTAATAGAAAAATTCCCTTGATTTTAATATGTTTTGCTTAATAAACAGAGTAGCATTATATCAGGAATATGATTAATTACAATCAACTGTTTTTACAAGGATCAAGCACAATAATACTAAAACATGTAACTGTGATTCATATAACTGTGCCCAAAAATACCAAGCTTAGGTGTGAAATACAGGCATCAAACTATTATTAAATCATTAAGAGTAAATTCTTGAAATTGTTTATTTTTACATGCTGGTAAAATTTCATCGGAATATACATGTCAACCTAATTCTCATATATCTAGATTCAAGGGAGATTATCAATGAAAGCAAAGCCCATTTAAGATAGCACACCAATTTTTAAATATTAATGCTACTAGCCAATTTTCTGAGTTCTTATTTCCTGCTTATAAGCAAACAGGATAAGCAACTGAACAATCTGTCTGTTTCAATGCATGTACATACTTCAATGTACTAAAAATGGTTATACCCCTGTTCATGACCATTCTTATCTACTCTACTTTTGATAGTTATTGAAGTGTTCAAGGCAAGAAACTTACTTTTCCTGGCCTTTCAGTATTCCGAGTAAAGGATTTGGGATGAAAACACCAAGTCAAGTATTTTGATTGGTTAATTTTTTTCGAGTCTGAGTACCATAATCTTACTTGAAGGTTTCAAAACCGTAAGCCCTGAAAAACAGACACTGGAAAAAAGCTACACATAGCTTACCATTCACAAAAATAGTTGATAAATGCAATAGAACAAACTGATAAAACTAACATAAATATGCTGTTTAATGGCTGCTAAGGACCTTTTGATATCAATACAAAATTATGTACAAAAAGTAAAATAACAAAAATACCTAACTCCAATGAAAATTCAAAACGAAAAAGTCCCTTATCAAATGGCAAAATCAAATTTTCTGGATTTCAAAACAAATATTACAAATTATATCAAAATAATGGTATATTTCTTATAAAACCTAAAATTATATCTCTACAAAATCTTGGCTGCTCTGGTATTTGCTAGCACTCCACATATTTTTAAGAAAGCCTCTACTTATGATGTGGGTAAGGTCATCATGATTTCAAGCTATATATCTTAGTTTCTGAGTTTAAATTTTATTCCATATTTTCCCAAACAACAGTAATTTAGGAACTGCATCAAAATGATGCTTCCTACCACATTGTAAATATGATTGTTTTTAAAAAAAAAATTCCTCTGGTTACCTTCTCCTGACAAAAATATGATAACAGGTAGATGGAAAAAAAATTTAAATACAAATGTTGACATTTTAATTTGTGCATGTCTAAAAGGAAGAACTCATTTAACTATCAGAATAAAATTCTAGAATCCTGCATCGTAATTTAAAGAAAATGGCAGTTTGCATTTAGGGCCTTATTTTGAGCTTATATATTTCTTATATAGATACTTTCATTTTATAATAGTCTATGTTGAAGTTATAAAATAATACAAAACGTACCGGTAGTTAACAAGTTATAATAATCAACACAGTGTTTTCATGATAAAAACCACAAAAAATCATTGACTTATGTCAATTTCCAAATAGTTTTCCTGATCCCAGAATTACAGAATGAATGCCAGAACCAGAGTTATAACTCATCACAGTGTTTGTCTCTATATGTTCACAAACTCTGATCAGATTATTTACATTGTTCTTGCATTTTTAGATATCTCACAATTGCAAATATATATTAAAACTAAGCTATTTTTGTAGTTTTCTTTCTACCTTAAAATCTTGAGGAATATTCAGAATATTTAAAAGACCTTACAGTTAAGTCTTTGCACTGACCTATCAATTATTTCAAATAATTAAATTGTTTCTGTAATATTTCATTTTAGGGCCCATAATCACCCTTCCTGGTCCCCTCTCATTTCTGTACCCAAAGTCTATGTCAGAGCAATTACTACTTTAGGATTACTTATAAAAATAACTCCTATCATATAAATTAAAGTTTGGTCCTAATTGACTCCTGTTTAGTCATTTAGTTTTCAAAACATATTTTAAAGAATTTAAATAAAGTAAAATTTCAATAAGACCTGTCTGCAAAAGAGGACCTAACACCCTACTTCTTAAATATCCCAGTTATCTTAAAATTCATACATTAAATGCATATGTATGACTCAAAAAGGTATGAAGTTTCATGTACAGTACAGCAGAATCTTGCAAAAAGAGTTGTGATGATAAAGATGAACACTGCCAAGGGTGAAAATTTTAAATTTCCAAGGGATATAAATTAAAATAATTCCTGGGATTACTGCATGAAATTGGCCAAACAAGCCAATTATTCAAAGAGAATGTGGTATGTATCATCTTTTAATCTGTTTCTATTCAAAGTATTTGGCACACCATGTAAGTGATATTTCACTGATGTTGGTCATAATTTGCTCAGTTATAGAGATATTAATAGGTTTCATTACAAGTAAGAATTGGATTTCTCTTGATATCAACTTGAGTTGTTTAATTTCAATATAATAATAAACAAGCCTTCAGCGAGTTTATTTTTACTATTTAAATCAAATAACGAAAGTTGATATCAAGTGATATCAAATTCTCAGAAGTTGTTAAACCTATTTTTCTTATGGTCAACTCTTTTATTGAGTTGAATTAAATAATTCCTCGAATCGTTGATCTAATCTTTCGTACATACCAGCATGATGTCACATGTCCTGTTCCAGCGTCAAACTTCAACATCAGAGATTTAAAAACTTTTTGTACGCTTCAGAATGTAATAAATTTGTTAATAAGAAGATTTCCAGGTGAAAAGTGTGAGTGTCTTGTATATTATCGAAGAAATCCTATATGCCTGTTGCCATGGACGAAATGTACATTGTCTTAACCTCTGAAAGTTATCAATGACTAACGAATAGCCAATTGAAATTTCATAATATTGTCTCATGATGCTGGATAGGCCAATCAAATTAACGCAGTTTTCATATCAAACTTTGTGCAGTGTGATACGAGAAATATCTCTTCATGCAAGAAATGGATAACCTGCCACAACCATAAGAGAAAAGAGTCATTATTATGTTTTTACTGGTTGTATTATTTCACTTCATCAGTGTCTCGACTAAGTTTCAAAATCAATAAAATGCTCCGCTGGGGCGCAGCTTGATACGACCGCAGAGGTTGAACCCTGAACAGTTGGGGCAAGTATGGACACAACATTCAAGCTTGATACAGCACTGAATTTGGATTGTAATTAAATATTTGACACAGCATAGGTTTCTCACACAGAATGAAAGTGGTCTAAGAACTTAAAATTTTTTAATTTACCTATTCAAACCATATTATTATTATTTGCTTTTATATATAAATCAGAAATAACCAATTTAAAATGGAAAATTTTAAAGAAAAAAAAGGAAAAAAATCCCCCCCAATTTTTTGAACCATTCTTATGATTCATCACCCCCAAAGTCAATCCCAGCTTTTCCTTTGTGGTATGGTACATTGCAGTACAATTTCAGAGAGATCCATACACTTGAACACAAGTTATTGTCTGGAAACTAGAAAAATGCTTGTTTTTTTGCCCCTTTTTGGCCCCAAATTCCTAAACGTTTAGGGCAATTACCCCCAAACTCAAACCCAGCTTTCCCTTTGTGATATGGAACCTTGCAGTTCAATTTCATAAAGATCCATACGCTTACACACAAGTTATTGTCCTGAAACTAGAAAAATGCTTGTTTTTTTGCCCTTTTATGGCCCCTAATTACTAAAATTTTGAGGGAATTACCCCCAAAATCAATCCCAGCCTTCACTTTGTGGTATGGTACCTTGCAGTACAATTTCAGAGAGATCCATACATTTGAACGCAAGTTATTGTCATGAAACTAGGAAAATGCTTGTTTTTTGCCCCTTTTTAGCCCCTATTCCTAAAATTTGGAGGTAATTACCCCCAAAATCAATCCTCGCATTCCCTTTGTGATATGGAACCTTGTGGTACAATGTCAGAGAGATCCATACACTTACACCTAAGTTATGTCTGGAAGTTACAAAAATGCTTATTTTTGGCCCCTTTTTCCTTAACTGTGGGTACCATAACCCCCAAAATCAATCCCCACCTTCCTTTTGTGGTATTGAAACTTATGGTAAAATTTCATTGAGATCCATTCACTTAAACTAAAGTTAGAGTGCGAAAACTAATGTGTCTTCGGACGACAACGACGACGATGACGCCAACGTCATACCAATATACGACCACAAAAATTTGTTTGCGGTCGTATAAAAACAATTGAAACTAAAATGATTGTAATCAGTCTCAGTGTTCATATGGGACGAATGAGTAAAACAATCAGAATTTATAAAAGATTGCTCAAAATACAAAATTAATAAAAAAAAATCATTCATAAAAACTAAAATTGATAACAAAATACATAGAAAAATTCACAAGAGTCAAGTACATATATGTATTCATATCTAAAATATTAACAATATTATTCTATAAATAAAGTAAATATAAACAGTATTATTCTATTTCAATCACTTAAAATGCATGCATATTTGAATTAAAAGAAATGAAATAAACACAAAATAAACAATAATCAAATACAAAATTTTTTCATTAATTAAACATTTGCACAAATCCAGAATAAAAAATTTCTGGTCAAGGAGCTTCAAAATTTGTCATATAGTCCTTGCATATTATATCTATATACTGGGAATGTAAAAACCCAAAATACATTGTAGTCCCCATGACAACTGTTAATTTACTTTCATATTTTTCTACAAGATTTCTGTGTTTTTTGTCTTATCTAGCTTACCCCACATTATTACCTTTTTTCTCATTTTATATGTTCTACTGAAAAAGGGTAAAACTTATTATTTTTTTTTACACTATTAAAATGTTTTCAGGTCTTTTGTCTTTATTCTGATGTGCTTCACTTATATATATATATAAAAAACAGAATATTTTACACTTGTGAATGATCCACGAACCCTCAATATGGACTAGTATAAGAAACTGTTACTCTAATCTAATTTATTTGCTATAAAAAAAATATAAAGGACATTACAACACTTGACAACATCAAAATCTTAGACTAGATGTCACGATATTTCATTTGTTGTCTACTTATTATACAAGTATTAATTTGAACAATAACTACCTCTTAAAACAGTGTCAAAAGAGCATATATATATATATATATATATAGACAACATTACAAAAAGCACATTGCAGACACCATTACACTTGACAACATTAAAATCTAAGACTATATATCATGTGTGATGAACTTATGAAGTCAAACAAAATTATTGTCATTTCCTTCACAATGCACCATGCCTGTGTCATTTGCTGTACATTTCTGATAATTTGTCTTACGTAGGAGTTGTTTCCCTTTGATAACTTTTTTTTTATAAAAATTGGAAACAAAGTCTTTAAATTGTGATTGAAAATGGACTTTAGAAGATATGGCCAGGTGATGCTTTATTAAAAATTACCTGGTTTTCAACAGAGTACCCAAGTTTCCTGATTTACTAAAATTTGATTGTAATAAAATAACACAAGTCATGTAGATTAAAGAAAACACAATACAATATATGAATAATAGATTTTTTGTATTACTTATGCAATATCTAAAACATTAATAACCATTAAAATATTTAAATGTTCAACACTGGAATTAATCAATATGAAAATATGCAATAGCTGTACATTTGATGCAATAATAATTCACTGAATGTCATAAAAATCATTTATAAACCAATGTTGACATTCCTTGAACAAAGAAATTTATTCTTCAAAAGCAGGAAACATATTTTACTATCTAAGGAAAGATCGTTTATTTGACTACTTGATGTTAAGCCTAAAGAGTATTAAGATAAATTATGCAAAAAAAACTGAAACAAGATAAATGCAGATTTATCTTTTTGATCCTAGGAAGGTAAATATTGATAATGCACATACATATTCATTTCAACTACAAAGAGAGTGAAATGTTCAAACAACTGTCATTTAAAATGTCTTTTATAATATTGTAGTATCTGTTTCAACTATATACCAAAATTGTCAATTTTAAATATTGTTCACAAATGTATTGGGAGAAGAGACTTATCAGGTGATTAAAGTGAATAATTCACAAAAATTAAAGTTAAAGCACAAATAGATGTTAAATCACCAGTAAATATAGTTTACTAAAAATGCTTTAATGAAGAACTAAAAGTCTGCTTTTATATTGTCTTTGGGCTACTGTTATTTTTGTTCTCTTCAATTTTCAAAACTAAATAAGAAATACTTATGGAAGACCTTCACTTTCCTTAAACTGGTCTTGTCTTTGAAACTTGAATACTGGGAAGACATTCTTGACTTCTTCAGATATAGCAATATTTGCTAGCAATAAAAATTGAAGCCACTAGACATCAAGGAATTTTCAACATTTCAACCAGAATTCTTTAATTTTCACTAGGCATATTTCAACCAGGTTTCAGCCCATTTTCAACGTTAAATCAGCATTAGATTTTCAATGTTGGGTTGCTGGCAATAAAACATTCATTTATTATACACAGCTGCTCAGAAAAATGAGGTTAGGTTTTTATTAACTACAGACTTGAAGAAATATTGAAAGGACATCAACTTGGTTATTTTAGGAAATTGCAAGGAAAGGATAAAAAAACAAGAATGTGTCCATAGTACACGGATGCCCCACTCACACTATCATTTTCTATGTTCAGTGGACCTTGAAATTGGGGTCAAAACTCTACTTGGGCATTAAAATTAGAAAGATCATATCATAGGGAACATGTGTACTAAGTTTCAAGTTGATTGGACTTCAACTTCATTTCATCAAAAACTACCTTGACCAAAAACTTTAACCTGAAGTGGGACAGATGGAGGAACAGACCGAAAAAAATAATGCTCCTCTACTATCGTAGGTGGGGCATAAAAATCAAGATCTTATCAACTTCAATCTTTTGCAAAACTATATCTTGAAGTCATTTGACATCTCTAACCTTATGTTAAAATCTTTTGTAAAAATTCACCAAGTACAAATATTTTCATACAATACCATACTTCTCAATATTCAGTTATACCATGGTAGACTCGTAAAGTATTGCATATTTTGAAATATTGCATGCTCATATTAACATTGTATTGTTATATATCGTAATTAGGAGCAGACTTCATAAGAATAATTTACTTGTGTCCAATCCATTTTACTTGAGTAAATAAAATTTACTTAAACTAATACCAATCCACTATACCATATACCATGTTTTACAGTATGCCAGAATTAAGGATATCAAGAGCAAAGACCAGTCAAGTTTTTTTAAGAGGTATTTTAATTAACATTAATCTCAATATGTTAAGAACATCTAATTGCATTGTAAAATATCCTATAAATTAGGTTTTATATCATTTCTTTATAAAAGTAGATACTGTAAATTCAGAAATTATTGGGTGTAATTATTAATGCGATTTTTGAAGAAAGGACAATAAACTGTTAACACAGAGATATGTCTCGCCTATTTGTTATTTTGATAATACAAATGTTGAAATTAAAATAGCACTACTTTAACATGTAAGTTATGCAAATATTCAAAGTCAATGAACCATGACTGAAGGTACAGGGCTAAACAATCTCCATGGAAATGAAATGTGCCAATGCTAATACAACTGCAAACCAAATGCCATTGACTTTTCATAAGTCGTTCCCTTTAAACAAACCTAAACACAAACATGAACTTGTAAACTATGTAAAAGTTTCAAAGTCAATGAACCATAATTAGGGGGTGGGGTTATATAATCTCCATGGAAATGAAACTTGCAAATGCCAATACATTTGCATACCGAATATCATTGACTTAACATTAGTGGTTCATCTTAAACTGACCTAATCACAAACCAATACATGTAAACTAAGCAAAAGTTTCAAAGTTTCAAAGTCAATAGACCATGACTGAGGGGTAAGGACCAAATATTCTCCATGGAAATGAGATGTGCTAATGCTTATACAACTGCATACCAATTATCATTGAACTACCACTAACAGTTACCCTTAAACTGACCTAATCACAAACTAATACATGAAAACTAAGCAAAAGTTTCAAAGTCAATAGACCATGAATAAGGGGGCGGGGCCAAATAATCTCCATGGAAATGAGATATGCCAATGCTTATACAACTGCATACCAAATATCATTGACCTACCACTAGTGGTTCCCCATAAACTGACCTAATCACAAGCTAATACATGTAAACTAAGCAAAGTTTCAAAGTCAATAGACCTTGACTGAGGGGGCAGGGTTAAATAATCTCCATGGTAATGAGATGTGCCAATATTAATACAACTGCATACCAAATATCATTGACCTACCACTAGTGGTTCCCCATAAACTGACCTAATCACAAACTAATACATGTAAACTAAGCAAAGTTTCAAAGTAAATAGACCTTGACTGAGGGGGCGGGGCCAAATAATCTCCATTGTAATAAGATGTGCCAATGCTTATACAACTGCATACCAAATATCATTGACCTACCACTAGTGGTTCACCATGAACTCGACCTAATTACAAACTAATACATTGTTGACGCCGCAGACGCCGGAAACAGCATACCTATGTCTCGCTTTTTGACTCCGTCAAGGCGAGACAAAAATGTGAGATTATTTATTGCGATTTCAGGAAAATCTGCATAAACTTATATGTATCAGATATCAGAATGCGAGTTCTTATTATTGCGATTATCACCAAGTCTCATTATTGGCAATAATAAAAACCTCTCAATAGTTTCTGAATTTACAGTATTGGGACATACAATAAATATAAGATAAGAGTTATATTGCACATTAAGTATGCTTAATACACCAATTTCAAGTTGATCGTCATTGAAGAAAAAACAAATTTTCCTGTAATTTGTCAGAAAACAATAGATATTACACCAAGATGTCGTTAAATGAAATTTGATAAACTGCATTTACCATGCTTTTCAATAACATATGATCTAATCGCTGAAAGACCCATCCTAAATTATTGAATACTATCATTCTGCATTGACAACAATTATCTTGGTGTAAATTAGATGCACCCATTTGGGCTTAAACGCCCTCAAGGTGTATCTAATACTTAAACACATGTATGATTTGCAAATACAATGAAGTTAACCAGTGCAAAATTGAGTTCATCATTCTTAGTAAACCCCAAGGACTTGAAATTGGTGTATACATTAAAAGAATTCATGGTTAATATGAGATCATCAATATATTATTCACTACACTGAACCACACTGAGCTAAATAACATTTCTATTGAAACCTTCTTGAAGCACTTGAAATCAGAAATAAATACAACTTAGCACTTATTGTATGCCTGACAATAAACATATCTCTAAATTAATTAACATCAAATGACACTATTGAAAGACAGTTTGACATTGTCTACAGAAACTAAAAGCATTAAAAATTCAAACGGGAGCAGAATCAACATTTAAAATAGCATCATGATTGTGTAAGTTGACAATACTGGAATTCTGTACACTCAACAGTGTAGGATCAACCTTTCAAGAAAATTAACCGTTTATATTCTGTCTTCCACACTTTGATAACAATCTGACTGTACTATGATGTTTAACCTCTATTTCTACCGGAGAAGACTGTTCCCATGGTTCCCCATCTACCTGCATCGGTACTTTTCCTTTCAGAATAGTTATCTGTCAAGAGAAGAATGTCGTAATTACAATGGTGTTCATAATAGGGATAAGTTTCTTGCCTTTGTCCAGAAAGGAATCTGACCAAATAAAAGAACAAAGTTCCAATGTCCCCTGCCAATGCACATATTTTATCTGTCCAAGGGCAATAACTCTGATATACTTAATAGAATTGTATGTTTGAGAGAACATACAAAATAGAACTGACGGACGCAGGCATATTATTTATTTTTCCTAGGGGCATTCGCTTTTAATTAAAATTAATTAGCTCAGATTTTCGAACTCATTTAAGACAGCGCTGATATAAACCTTTGATAAAATTTTGTAAACATTCTTGGAAGAATTGTACACTTGAGAACACTTACAAGACCATATGGATAGACACACAAATTTAATTTACATTTCCAAGAGGCATAATTCCTTTCAAAATACTTTGGATTCATTATTATTCAATGGAGACCAATTTTCGTGAATTCATGGGTACAGGGAAACTCTCTACTGGTAAGACATATAATATCATGATTATACACCTATGTTGTATTTAAAGTAACCTGTGCATATATTTCTATTTTGATTTTTATACAATGTATGAACATACCTTAACTTTCTTTGCTTGACCCAATCTAAGTGGCTGTGCCAAGCCCACTTGTAACTGGGCAATATGGAATGAAGAATACAGTCCCATTACTTCCAACAAGCCATCGTTATAACTACAAACAGCAAATAATATATAAATATTGTTAACAATAAACAATTTTTTAATAAAATTTTACATAATGAATTGCATTGAATATACTACTTTCTAAAGTAATGTCATAACCAATTGTAAGTTAGAGAAAATCCATTATTAACCATGAAATCAATCGAAAAATTAATCATCAGAAGTTAAAATAAAATTGTTAAGTTCCACCAAATCTCCTACTATACCATTATGCAAAAAAAAAACTACATATGGATGATGCCCCCTTCTGCTCTGCCAAATGCATGAGTATAGTTCCACAAACTTTAGATTTGACAAACAGTGATGTTAAGTACAACTTGAAATTGTTGCACTGTCTGTAAGACACAAATAATTCCCCGCCTGACCACAAGAAATTATAAATTTAACACTATGTATGATGATCTATCTTTTATTTTTATTCTGAATGTCTACACTTGCAGGACTGAATGTCCAGCCAAAAGGTTTCAACTTTCCAGCTTTGGTAGTCACCAAGTTCAACTTCCCTGTATTGATTAAATATTTGACAATACTAAACTAGAGGCTCTCAAGAGCCTGTGTCGCTCACCTGTATTTACTGATGCTTTGGAAATCATGTAAAATAAGGTTAAAATCATAATTAATAATATTAGATATTAGATATTATAATGATATCTAAGATAATAACAAAAAACTGCAAAATTTTTGTAAAATTACTAACTCAGGGGCAGCAACCCAACAACGGGTCGTCGGATTCGTCTGAAAATTTCAGGGCAGATAAATCTAAATCTGATGAACATTTTTGCCACCTTTCAGATTTGCTCTAAATGCTTTAGTTTCAGAGATATAAACCAAAAACTGCATTTTACCCCTATGTTCTATTTTTAACCAAGTCAGCCATGATGGTTGGAAGGCGGGGTCATCGGACAAATTTTTTAAACTAGATACCCTAATAATGATTATGGCCAAGTATGGTTAAATTTGTCTCAGTAGTTTCAGAGAAGAAGATTTTTGTAAAAGATTACAAAAATTTACAAAAAATTGTTAAAAATTGACTATTAAGGGCAGTAACTCCTAAAGGGGTTGACTGACAATTTTGGTCATGACAACTTATTTGTAGATCTTACTTTGCTGAACATTATTGCTGTTTACAGTTTATCTCTATCTATAATAATATTCAAGATAATTACCAAAAAACTGCAAAATTTCCTTAAAATTACAAATTCAGGGGCAGCAACCCAACAACAGAATGTCAGATTTGTCTGAAAATTTCAGGGCAGATAGATCTTGACCTGATAATCAGTTTTATCCTTGTCAGATTTACTCTAAATGCTTTGGTTTCAGAGATATAAGCCAAAATCTACATTTTACCTCTATGTTCTATTTTTATCCATGGCGGCCATCTTGGTTGGTTGGCGGGGTCAACGGACACATTTTTTAAACTAGATACCCTAATGATGATTGTGGCCAAGTGAAGTTTGGTCAAATTTGGCCCAGTGGTTTCAGAGGAGAAGATTTTTGTAAAAAGCTAACGACGACGACAACGGACGACGGGCCAGGTGAGCTTAAAATCTTATATTTTCATTAGGGAAAGTAGTACAAACCATGATTTTAATTATATAGCAAGTGAGAAGGAAATGAAGTACGACATCCGGTTTTTGTGAATATGTAACATCCCTCTTTCTGAATTTAAGTACAAAATAAATGTGGATAGTGTCCACATGTGGACACAGATGATACCCCTGCTTGCATATCATATAGTTATAAAGGGACATAACTGAAGAACATTAAAATTGACGCTACCCAAATTTGAAGTTGATCTGAGTTTTGTGGTAAAAAGCATTGTGTATAAGTCTCATAACATTTGGTTGAGGCAAACTAAAGTTAGAAAACGGAAACAAAAAATTTGTATTTGATCTTAGTTTTGTGGTAATGAATATTGTGTATAGGTTTCATAATGTTTGGTTGGGGCAAACTTAAGTTACAGAATGGAAACTAAAAATTTTGCAATCTTTCGATTTATAAAGGGGCATAACTCAATAATAGTTAAAGTGACACTACCCAAATTCAATTTGATCTGTGTTTTGTCAGTGGAAGTCAAAATTAAACATTGCATTGTATAAAGCATTGATTGTAGTTGATTCAACTATAATCATGGACAAAGGAAGATAACTCCAAATTTAAAAAATACTTGATATTTAGAAGAAAATAAAAAATTTTGCAATTTTTCCATTTATAAAGGGGCATAACTCTAGAACGGTTAAAGTGACGCTACCAAAATTCAAACTTGATCTGTGTTTTGTGGTAATAAGCATTGTGTATAAGTTTCATAACATTTGGTTGAGGCAAACTTAAGTTAGAGAACGGAAACTAAATTTTTTTCAATTTAAAAAATGACTAAGAACAAATACTGGCATTTTGAGAATATTTAAAAAAAAAATCCTGTGGACATGTACACTTCCATTATGTGCATAAACAACCTACAAATATTAATAACTGAAGAACATTAAAATTGACACTACACAAATTTGAACTTGATCTGAGTTTTGTGGTAATAAGCATTGTGTATAAGTATCATAACATTTGGTTGAGGCAAACTAAAGTTAGAAAACGGAAACAAAAAATTTGTATTTGATCTTAGTTTTGTGGTAATGAATATTGTGTATAGGTTTCATAATGTTTGGTTGGGGCAAACTTAAGTTACAGAATGGAAACTAAAAATTTTGCAATCTTTCGATTTATAAAGGGGCATAACTCAAAAATAGTTAAAGTGACACTACCCAAATTCAACTTGATCTGTGTTTTATCAGTGGAAGTCAAAATTAAACATTGCATTGTATAAAGCATTGATGGTAGTTGATTCAACTATAATCATGGACAAAGGAAGATAACTCCAAATTTAAAAAATACTTGATATTTAGGAGAAAATAAAAATTTTGCAATTTTTCCATTTATAAAGGGGCATAACTCTAGAACGGTTAAAGTGACGCAACCAAAATTCAAACTTGATCTGTATTTTGTGGTAATAAGCATTGTGTATAAGTTTCATAACATTTGGTTGAGGCAAACTTAAGTTAGAGAACGGAAACTAAATTTTTTTCAATTTTTCCATTTATAAAGGGCATAACTCTAGAACGGTTAAAGTGACGCTACCAAAATTCAAACTTGATCTGTGTTATGTGGTAATAAGCATTGTGTATAAGTTTCATAACATTTGGTTGAGGCAAACTTAAGTTAGAGAACGGAAACTAAATTTTTTTCAATTTAAAAAATGACTAAGAACAAATACTGGCATTTTGAGAATATTTAAAAAAAAATCCTGTGGACATGTACACTTCCATTATGTTCATAAACAACCTACAAATATTAAAGCTGTAACGCAAAAACTGTGAAGGAAATAGCCAGACAAACCATGATCTCTTTATGCAGCTAGTACCAAAAAATGACTAAGTCCAAATACCTGGCATTTTAAGAATATTTGAAAACAAGAGGCTGTCAGAGTGACAGCAAACCAGATTTCCTGCAGAGGTCAAACATTGAACAGTTGAGCAAGTATGAACACTACATTTAAGTTTAAAACAGCTCTGAATTTAGATTGTGATTGAATATTTGACACAGCATAGGTTTTTGACACAAAATGAAAGTGGTCAAAGAACTGAAAAATTTGAAATTGGACATTTACCTATTATGGTCCAATATCCAATATCTAAGTACATTGTTAGAATCAGCATATCAAAGAACTCCAAGAATTCATTCATCAAAACAAAAGATTAATTTAGGACCCTTTGGACCTCAATGTTGACCAATTTGATAAAGGAGCCCACAATCCAAAATCTCTAAATACATGGTTAGATTAAGCATTTCGAAGAACCCCATAAATTCAATTTTTGTTAAATCAAACAAAGTTTAATTTTGGACCTTGATATGGACCAACTTGAAAACTGGGCCCAAAAATCTAATATTTAAATACAGGTTTAGTTTCAGCATTTGAAAGAATCCTATAGGGGAAATTCGCCTAATTGCGGACACTTTTTCAAATCCGGAAGTTTGGATACCGTCGAGGCCAATTGCGGACATACTGGTGGTTGCATTTGACAGGAGAGGATAGAGGGGTATCAAATGGACCATTTCCCGCGTTTTCAGGTCTCCTCTCTAGATTGGTAGATTGCAAACTCTTAAAACCCGCGGAAATGCCGAGTCGCGTAAATGCGGACAGGGGGAGTTAAAATACGGACACCTTGTCGTCAAATTGCGGACACTTATTTTTAAACAGTTCTTGCTATTCAAAACGCAGGTATTATGCATATATAACATTAACTCTCATGAATAAACCCTCAAGAATAACCTCTCAGTGCATCTTAAAGCATGTTTGAGAATGGTTTTCTCGCATGAACTGGTAATACATGTGGAAAGGTGAGTAAAATAAGATTAAAGAAGTTCATTAAATATCTTATACCACACCAATTATTAAATGATATAAGATGCAGAAACTTTTTTGTACTGACAACTTCCATCGGGATATTGTCTTCCAAGATGCATGCATGCATATATACGAGATATAGTTGTGATAACTTTCAATTTCAAATCGTATGGCATTCATTGTAATGTGTTTTAATGTCCTAATCACTTAAAAATCCGTAGCCCTCACTCTAGAGCATAAGATGCCTTGGGGCGAGATTTTTTTCCCATCCAACACCATGAACATCTGAAAACAGTTTATGGAATGGGTAAAAAGACTTCATTTTTAAGAATTGTGAAATCAAAAATGGGAAAACGCAAGGTGTGAGGGAACATGCAAATTTTGTAAATTGAAATGTTCAAAAAAAAATTAGGACTATGGAAAAATGGACACCAAAAATTTTAGGGAATTATGGAAAAGTCAGTATTATGTTTAGTTTTATATGTATTGTCTATCATCTGTTGTTTCTAATGTATTGGTCTTTTGTTGGGCAATGTATGACAAATATATGTTGATTGATTGATTGATTTTTGGTGTTTTAACGCCATTTTTAA